GTTTGAGGTAGCAGTCGTGTGTGTACAGCGTGAACAGGAGGGGGCTGCGCACACAGCCCTGGGGGGCTCCAGTGTTCAACACTAGAGTGGAGGAGGTGTGGCTGCCAATCCAAACTGCCTTAGGTCTGTCTGTGAGGAAGTCTCCGGCTACGTCCACACGTTTTAAAAAGCATTACTTTTGCTGCGTTTATGCCTAGCGTCCACACTACTCCGGTGTTTACAAACCCCTAACACGGAGACGTTTGAAAACCCTTGCTGGACTCAGCAACCAGACCAACAGACTCAACAACCAGACTCAACTGGTTATTGAGTCTGTTGGTCAACAGACTCAACAACCAGACCGACAGACTCAGCAACCAGACCAACAGACTCAACAACCAGACCAACAGACTCAGCAACCAGACCAACAGACTCAGCAACCAGACCAACAGACTCAACAACCAGACCAACAGACTCAGCAACCAGACCAACAGACTCAACAACCAGACCAACAGACTCAGCAACCAGACCAACAGACTCAACAACCAGACCAACAGACTCAGCTCGTCTGCTGAGAAAACCAAACCTCAGCCACCTGTGGTCAGACTAATGTGCTGAATTGTTTTCCCATGAGCAGGATGAAAATGAGGACGTTGATTACAGTTTATATAAAAACTAATAGACTAAGGGCCTTATGTTGCATCTATAGTTTGGTTTATTTTAGTAAGCAGTTAATAGTTGATGTTAAAAACAGCAGCACTATACTGTGACTCGTCACGAACAGTGAAACTAACTCAGTCACTGCAAGTAACTCAATTGCCAATTAATGCATCTTCACGTCTTTGGTGTTAGTTTTAATAAAATGAGTTGAAATCAGTAGCAGGGATGTGTGTATGAGGCTGATGGTATCCTGTACTCGTCTTATCAGACCAAACCCAACCATGGGTTAGTCCATCGCTCAACACTCTGAACCCCATTGGTTCCTACCGAAGATGTAAATCCTCTAAAACGTAAAATAAATATATATGGTGCCATTTTAATAAACAACCAAAAGGGTTGAGTAATTGGCTTTAAACCGCTGCTCACTGTTGTTTTATCAAACATGACTCTAACAGGAGGAATCGTAAGATCAGCGTTTCAATCCATGGCGAGATACTGAACCCTTAAAGTGTCAGGATGTTGCAATCCCAAATATTTAGTTCATGTCAGTGTAAATTATACTGTAATGTTAGCAGGGTCATTATGTAGCCTTTTTTGTTTGACATTTAATGCTCCCAAATTTGCCCTAAGAAAATGTTCTTGTCAGCTGTCAGCTGTCACTCTCCAATTTCACAACAGAAAAATGCAGTGAAGATATATGTCAGATATAGTTTTGTGCCATTTCATAAATGAATAAGGAAGCATCTATATTGAAGCCTTGTGGGTTTTGTTCTTGTATCTTTGTAGACACTAGTCTGGAAATTCATCAATCAGCCGTCCACCAGTTTGACACAGAACAGTAGCTCAGTAGCTGGGAGCCAAGAGACGCTCCAGTTCGTGAGATGGTAAAACAAAAGCTAGTGCTTTATTGTATTGCCAACACAAAGTTGACAGACGACACGCTGGATGTTCAGCTCTGTGGAACATGAACGAACAGAGACTCAGTACACATTGTTGTGAACTATACAGTGTGTTGAATGCCTCAAACTGTCCCTTAGAAAAGACCTGAGCGGTACTCAATGTGACTGTTAGGAAAACGCTTCACATCCTCTCCCTCCTGTACAGAGAGGATTCTCTGTACAGGAGGGAGAGGATGTGAAGTGTACCTAAATGCTGGACATACTTCGACTGGGTGCTCAAGCATTCATTTAGACTTCACTGTAACTGTTTCACACAGCTTGATCATATTTAGTGCTTCTGGAAACCGAGCAATAAAGCATGCTGTGACAGTAGCTTTGGTACATCAGCCACATCTGTATAGAAACATGACTGCTCAGGTTCTATGCCGCTATGTAATGCTGCAGTAACCTCTGTGTGATCTGGTTGTATGAATAAAATAAACTTATGACTAACAATACATTTTTTTACGTTGTTTATCATTTTCTGTGTGTCGTCTGTGGTCCAGAGGAGGATATGGCAGCACAGACCAGATTGACATTTGTGGCTATTAAATGGTCCCAGAAACAGGATGTGTTGGTGGCCCTCTGTCCTTCCCTGTACTACAACTGCCGGGTCTGATGTCCCACTCAAACACTGGGAATATTCAGATATTCACATACAATGCACACATTGGCCTGGAGTGTTGCTGTTGTTTATCTATTGAACAGCCTTCAGTGAACCTTGCTTCAGTAACCACCCAGTCATAGGGCCACCTGCGCTCCCCGCTTTAACCTTCATTACTATATCATCACCATCATCATCATCATTCTCCCTCAAACCTGCATGTCCTTCTGTTCTAACTCTGCTGTCAGCTTCTTATGAGTAATGATGGAGGTGTATACCTTGCCTCCCCCGGCCAGGTGCTAAATATTAGTGCTAATTAGCGAATATTAGCAGAAAGCTAAACTAAGTTGCACACAGGATATCACACACCAGCTAAACAGCATTTGGTTAAAGGAGGTGCAGCCTAGAATCGAAAATAGATAATTATACTATATCTATGGAAAGTATTGCTTTTTTTAAACTGTTGACGGTGTTGTATGTATAGAGAAGCCTTTATTTTCCATTATACAGTAGACTTGATGAATAAAAGCACAGCAGTGTGAATAACACCAGGTTCTTCGTTTTGTCTTTTGGACTCATCCGTTAGACAACTGTAGGCCTATAATAGATATTCTTCTTCATGGCTTTGAACGTTGTGCTCGGACTTGGATACAATTATCAGATTACAGTACACTAAGGCTGAATTTTTTTTTCATGCAAGTTTCCACCATTTGGACCAAGTTAATGTGAATATTCACATTTAGAAACAATGAGATTTGGTGTTCCTGTCTTTCTGAAATGTGGCTTGTAGCCGACAGCTCACTGCTGATTTCTGGCATCTTTTACCATGAGTATCTCTAAATGTTCCGTTTGTGTTTTGTTCGTTTTGTGAGTATAATTTGTTTATTTGTATCAGTAAAGTTAATAAAAATTTTCATTTTTAATCAATTTCTTAATATTGTGAACCCCCCTTCCCGCCATTCTTTCTCCTAACCCCTTAACACAGGGATTCCCAAAGTGTGGTGGGTGCGCGAGCTGCCTCTAGGGGGTGCGCGAGAGGAAAAATGTAATGATGGTCTAATGGTGTAATAATTAATATTAAATATAATTTAAAATAATTTCAGTGGGATTTTTCACAAAATAAAAACATGAATGTGACCGAGCGTCTTGGGTTCGTGCATGAGGGCACTTATCTAATAGTAATAACTGGAGTCGGGAGACCAGACATCTTGTTCAGCCCACGGCTACTCTCTTTATTATTGTTTCCCCCTTCGGCCTGAGGCGGGGGTTACCCCTTCGCTACGGCAACCCTCAAGGGACATATTATCTTCAACACCAGAACGACAAACATGAGTCTGTTACATGAATTATAAAAATTATTATAAAAATGAATTATAAAAATTACCTTTGTAAGATTTAAATTTAAAAACTGACAATTTAATAAATAAATGCACTTCAGCTAGCCTAGCTTGTGCAGCTAACGTCAGCTAACAGCTAACTTCATTCATTCAGTAACATTCATGCAAATATGATAAACTGGCTGAAATCGGGGAAACTGTCAGGCGGGACATCTGCGAGAGCGAGAGCGAGAGACCGAGAGCGAGAGCGAGAGACCGAGAGCGAGAGCGAGAGACCGAGAGCGAGAGCGAGAGACCGAGAGCGAGAGCGAGAGACCGAGAGGCCGAGACCGAGAGACCGAGAGGCCGAGAGCGAGAGACCGAGAGGCCGAGRAATCGGAGGCGAGAGAAACGGAGAGGTGCGTTGGGGAGAGACCGGGAGAAGAAATCGAACGGGAGTCAGAGAAAGATGAGACGGAGGAGACCGAAAAGGAGGAAGGGATAGCACAGACAAATGGGGAGCACATAGGCCCATCGCGGAGTCAAGGTGAAAAAAGAGAAAATATGATGAAAATGATCTGGTTCTGGGCTTCACTTGGATTGGCAATGCAGATTGCCCAAAGCCACAGTGCATGGTGTGCAGTGAGGTTCTGGCTAACAGCTGTCTGAAGCCCTCTTATTTACGTCGCCACCTGAACACCAAGCATGCCAGTGCAAGTCAAAAGCCCCTTACATTTTTATATCGAAATTGGAGGAGTTACAAAACAGCCAAAAACAACTGCAGTCTCATTCATGTGTTGGGTCTACAAAACACGCACTACGGGCTTCATATCTGGTCACAGAATAGCAAGAAAGGGGCTACCGCACACAATCGCCGAAGACGTGTGCTTGCCAGCTGCCAAAGAGATGGTGGAATGTATGATGGAGAGAGAGAAGCAAACAAGTTGGACATGATCCCGGTGTCCAACAACACTGTGTCGCGCAGCATCGATGCTTTGTCCGAAGACATCCTGGCTACATTAGTCGGTCGCGTGAAGAGTGAGTTCTACTCTCTGCAAGTAGATGAGTCTACACATGTGGCCAATATGGCCAATCTTCTGGTGTACGTCAGTTACCTTTTCGAAGGCACGGTGCAGTGTCTTTTTATCTTGGAAACAAACGCCACGGGCGAGCAAACTGTTCTCTCATTGGTCCGATTTTTATGCGGCTATAAATAGGCTCTGTTGCTTTTTTTAAGGTGTGGGGGATTAGGGGTGCGTGAACCCAGTCGGGATGTAGAAGGGGGTAGCCTAAAAAGTTTGGGAACTGCTGCTTTAACACATCACAGGCTCAGTGTCCTTTCTTTCAGCTCCGCACAGCTGCCGCACAGCCGTAGACCCTCTTCTTGTGTTGTCTTATCCATCTCATGACCCCATAGATTAATCTCTGCAGCCCCTGCTATGAACCACTGTCACGTATAACTCTAAACCTGAGATTCCTTGTTAATAAAGCAATTCTGAAACATTTATTCAGAAGTCAATTTATTTCAGTGATGTTAACAAGCACAAAGCAACCCTTGAGTTTGACAAACCTCTACTGACTGCAGCTGTGCCTCACTCACAGATTATGAACACATCACTGAAGTGTCCTGTTGAAATATTACCAGGCTACTGTCGCCCATACAACGCTGAAAACTATGAGCTGCTGTGGTTGTGTTCTGGATTTATTTGCCCATGCTCTGGGCCGATACACTGATGGAGATGGCTGCTATGGATTCACAGTGTCAAAAACAAATCAACTAACTAGGAATGCAATGAACGTTGATATTCTAATTATCATTAATAACAAATACATTGTGTGCAATAGTCCCGCCTCCCCCCCACAGACAGCGAGCCTCCTCTGTGGAGCCTAACGGTCTCAGTCTTCAGTCCAGAAGTCATCATTTACTGAAAAGCAAGATGTGAGCAACACTACCTACCAGACTGACCCTGACATCACTTACCAGTTACTATGTACAATCATTTACAGCTTTTCCTTGGACAGATATATAATGCAACGACATCTGTAGAGCGTGAGAGAAGCACTCAGTGTCTCAGGACCACTGCTGGGGAGAAATCGGAGGTTTTGAGGACAAAGTCATCTTGAGAATTAAGCCATATGAGAATAAAGTCATGATATTTTAAGCAAAAGTTTGCAAAGAACATCACATTTAATGTAATTACAGATCACATTGCATTGTGCATGATTTTGCATCTTCAGTCCATAAACATATGGAACAGCTACTATTAGTTCTTGCAGATGACTTGTGTTGAGACAATGTCACCGTTTACTACGAGGGATGATTAGTATTTGCTCATAATATTTACTTTGTTCTTGAAATATTGTATTGAAGTAAAATGTCAAGCTAATTTACCACTTTGTCCTTCACAATTTTACAACAGTACTCTGCTAATATTATGACATTATGACTTTATTATTCAGTGTGAGGTATCCCGACACTGCACTAACTGATTCCATCATTGTTCTGTCAGAGGTAATGAGATGACGCAGCTCACACTTCTTTCAGCCGTGTGCTGTGGAAGGTCCACAGTCGGCAGGTCTTTCCATCCTAACCAACCACAGCAGGGGATGTCGCACTCACTGAAGTCAGCAGTCCTTTCAGGCCGAGTTCACAATGGGACGATACCACAGAGTTCCATGCTGCAGCTAGTGTGTAGAGATCCTGTTGTGGACCTGCTGGTAGCACAAGGTGGAGGAAGATTACGAGTCCTCTATAGAGAAAGCTTGGTGTGTGTTGGGGAATCGCCGGGTGTTGTAGTTTGGATTGTCTCTCACTCGCTCTCTGATGTCCCTCTTCACCTGGCAGGAGGACAGACAGTGAGACAGCAGGTCACTGAGAGAATGGCCTTCATATTAAAACTCCTGTTTCCTGTTCTTCATGTATATGAAGCTTACATGGGCTTTATTTTTCTGTTCTTCAAAGCAGTCAAAGGGACCAATCCTCCAGTTCTGTGCTGTTGACGGGCCAACTGTTTTCAAGGTTAAGTCCCTCTGTACATGAAGTCACTTCCAGATACAAATGACCACTCTCATCCTTACAGGCCCCATTAGAAGAATGAGGGTTAAATTGTACCAGCATTAAATTGGGATTTGGCAGTCAGGTAGTAAAATGTATGGAATGTAATTACATAAGTAAAGACTGCATACATAGATGTATTAATTAATCACATTATTTGTATGTTTCTATTTCTTGTTCAACCACAGAGAATCTGCCTCTGAGAACTTCTTGTTCTAGGCTTCTCTGTATTTCTCAGGTGGAGGTGTGTTGATGGCGCAGTGAGGATATATAGCTCTGGAGAGAGGTTTCACAGCTGTGGCTTCTTACGGCCATAATGTCTGGTGTCCAGTCCAAATACACTTAATCATGCATTTCCCATAGTGCCCGGTAAACACCCAAGTCTTTCAAACTCCACATCTCCAGTTTGCAACACAGGTGTTCTGTTAGTAATGTGTCGTCTACAAACCCAAGCTGAGATGACATCATTATGACATCATCAGGATTATTTTCTCACTTAAGAGACTTTTCACAGGCGGAGCAGCACTCTCTATTACGTGTACACTGCCCCTGTAATTATAATGACGTATGAGACAGTTTCAAAATTGATTTCTATTGTTTGGGCCCTTTTTTAATTTTCATATTCAGGATCCAGTGTTTTTTAGAAAAGCGATATGCAGCCACAGTGCCATGCCAGCCAATCATACGAGTCCTACTGGTATCCACGATTCACTCTTGGTGCCTTCATTTCAAAATAATCAGCAGAACTTCACCAAAGACCATGCATCAATACTTATCCTGAGATTTAAGCTAGATGACAATGGACATTATAGGTTAAGATGACTAACAACAATGCTGGCATGAATTCACTTCGGGACATTACCTGTTTGGCATATGCTTCCTGCAACTCTGGCCTCTCCAGCTCCCCCTGCAGGCTGTGTGGGTCAGTGGCAGGATGGGCTCCTGCAGCTCGAGCAGCTTGACTCACTGCGTCTGACAGGGACAGGTGTGGCCCTTCACACTGGGTTGTCTAAGGACAGAAACTAGACTTATAGGAACATTATGATATCTCTGCTTGTCCAGGACAGGGTTATCTTCAGGACATATTTAGCCGAGCTTAGCACAAAGACTGGAAGCATTAGGAAATGGTTAACCTGGCTCTGTCTTCCCACAACGCTGTTCTATCGTATTAGCAAGCAAGCTATTGTCAACAAGTCCCCTCATTTCTTCACTTTGGACAGAGCTCAAACATTTGGACAGTTTCTCTCAGACTACAGAGCACGGCTCACCTTCCTCCTCTTGGCGGGCATACCGTGCAGGTAGGCGTCGGACAGCGGTGGCTGAGCTTTGATCTTCCTCTGAGACAGCATGTCATGTCTGATGATGGGAACCCATTCCTGACAAACACATTATTATACATAGTCAAAATCCAACGAGCGGATCATCACGCTAATTTATGAAACTGATGTGCTACATAGCAATACGTTTATTTCTATAGCGCTTTAAACAACAAAGTGCTTAACATAACATATAAAAAGACATTAAAGTTGAACACCTGGTAGTGAGAGTACAAACACAGTCACTGTTGACATGTGCTCACTATAGACTGTATCTAGCACCGTAGACTGTATCTAGCCC